ATATAGCAAAATAAAGCCCCAATAGAGAGCTTTAAAATAAGCTACTAAACTTCCTAATCGGGTAAGTATTGGTGGAGATAATAGCGTTTTTGAGATCCCGATGTGGAGACCCAATTACCAACCTATTATAGGTTTCAAATCTCAAATCTATTTTAGATTATTAATAGCTGATTAAAAACTTATAAATATAATAAATTATAAATTTTAGAATTAAATATAGTTATAATGTTTATAAGATTTATTATATATAAAATGGACTTAGAAGTTAGCGAAGTACATAAGCTTTCTATAGAAGCTTAAACTCTATGGTAAAATTATTACTTAGCTTAAATATATCTACTTATTATCTATATTAACTAGTATTAACTAAAGTGTTGTATTGGGTGCGCACGGACAGTAGTTTGACCAAAAGTGGATGCCTAAATTGAACCCCGCACGCCCTACATTTACAAACGGTCGCACCACGCATGCCACGCTGCTTTCGTTTACGACAACTCCAACTCGGGACCCTTTTTCTTGCATATGGCACGTACATATTGTAAAGCTTTCTTGTTTGCATAGTGTTATTATGAACCTTAGCAATCGCACCTATTCTCCATTCGAGAGGATAACGGAACACGCTCTAAATAAGCTTTTCACGTTGGCAACATGGTCGGCCTTTACGCGGAATTGAAGCTGGCTCCCAAGGACGAAATTAGGCTCGTCAATATCCTCCCGAGAAACGAGTCAAGCACTCTGGCCTGCGAGCTCCAGATCGTTGATCTTCGGGAAAAACCAGAATACGTCGCACTCTCATACACTTGGGGCTCACCTACTGCACTTCCAGATGAAGGAGCAGAAGCTTGGCTAAATAAGCGAAGTTTCACATTGCTTTGCAGGGCAAAACCTGGCTCTGCAAATCAATCCTATCCACTCTGGCATGAGATCTTAATCACCGAGAATCTCTACGCTTTCCTCCTGAGAGCTCGCGACAACGAATCGTTCGCTCTGAACTCATATTGGATAGACGCCATTTGCATTGACCAAGAGAACTCCGCAGAGCGATGTCGTCAAGTACAAATGATGGGTAGAATCTACCGATCTGCCGGTATCGTGCATGCCTGGTTGGGTGAGGAAGACAATGATACCAGAATCGCCTTTGAATTGATACGAGCTTTGCTGGGTTTTTGTAGTGAAATTTCTGAGCGAAGAGTAAGAATCGAGGGACTGATGGATATCACTCCAAAATCCTTGGGGAGTGCTGATCTGACCGCGAGACTCGGACCTTGTGCAGACGTCACCGCTTGGATGGCAATGGCCAACCTGTTCCAGCGCAGATACTTCACTCGAGCGTGGATCATCCAGGAACTCACACTCGGCAGGAAAATTAAAGCTCTTTGTGGAAGTCAAATGGTGGACTGGGAAGCTATGACCACGGTGTCAGAATTTCTTTCCGTCACTCCCTGGAAAAGATGGATATCCAACGTTACCAGTTCACATCAAGGAGGACACATTGTTCCAAACATTCTCGACGTTAACAAACTCTCCAATAGTCTACTTTACTCGCTCATCAGATTCCGCCGCTTCGCCTCCACAGATCCTCGAGATAAGGTTTATTCACTCCTGAGCATCACAGGGGACTCTACTTTGACGAAGAGCCGCCTAATCCCCGTCTATGGCAGTAGATCGGTAGCGGAGACATATACGCTGGCTGCCATCCAGATCCTAGAAGACTCGGATGATCTACTCTTACTTTGTTATGCGGAAGGTGACAACTTCCGTACGATACCATCTTTACCCACCTGGGTCCCTGATTGGAGTTGTGCTCGAGCTCTTGGACTAGGTATCACCGGATATAGGAGGTTTGCAGCTGCAGGTACTCTTCCTAGAGCCTTAGATATTAACGAAGTCGACCTCCGTTTGACGATAAAAGGATTTCGATTAGACGATATCGTTTCTAGCAGCGAGACCAAAGAGTCCATCCTCGGTGGAAGTCCTTTTCCCGGTCTGCTTCGGATTTTCAGTATGATGACTCCTATCTACCATACCGGGCAGTCCCGATCAGAGGTGCTATGGCGGACACTGGTTACGGATACAGCGGGTGTTCCTCCTCGTTGTCCTGCTCCCAACAACTACCGTTCTGCATATATCTCGTGGATTACTTCGAAACTATCGCGTCATGTGAAAGAAACAGTCCAGAACACCAAAGAGCCAGCTCTAGTAAGCACCATGGCGGATTTCTTACCAACGGAGATCTCTGATTCATCATATTCAAATGCGTCATCTATACAATACGTCAGTGCTTCCTCGGATACACCGAACGGCTCTGTTGACTATGATGAATTTGAGACGATGTTTTCGCATGTTCTCCATCTTCGGTATTTCTTAACGGGCAGAGGCTACCTTGGAGTGGGATCCATGTCTCTTCTTCAACAAGATTCGATATGGGTCGTTCCTGGGTGCCGTGTGCCTTTGATCCTCCGAGAGATCGATTCAAATACTTTTCAGGTTGTTGGGGGTGCGTATGTGCACGGCTTTATGCAAGGTGAAGCTTTGCAGGCCAACGCTGTCTTTAGAAACCTTATTCTAGTGTAATGAATGCGACGTCTATAACCCTATAGGTTTTATACGTAGAGAACTTTCTTATTTTTCTCTATTAACATTATCGTCGTCAATCTAAAGTCATCTTCTAACTATTACCAACGTTCACAGTGCTAATATACAACTATAATACGTACTAGAGGTCTAGAAATAGTGATAGTAAATTGAGAATACTAAACAATAAGGATAAACTATAAGAGTACATCGAAATTCCTATACTACTAAAAGAGAATTTTTTAATAATTACTAATATAATAGCTAAGCTACTAAGACTACTATTACACGTAATAAGAAGGATTCTCTCCTTAATAAGTAACGAAATAGCTAAAGCCCTATAGGCGCCTACGTTAGAAGATAATAATTATTAAAGAGGCTAGAGTTACGTAATATACTATCTAACTTAGATAAAATATTCTACCAAGTATAGAATAGTTATTTAGCTCCAGCCATTCTGAGTAAAGTTTCTAAGAGAAAAGATCCTAAGATTTATTATAACTAGTAAGCAGTAACTACTACGTAAGTACCTTTTCTCTACTGAACATATTAATACTGTTACGCTTATAACCTATTAATACATATATACGCTATCAATAACGTTATAGAGCACCTTCGGGCTGTCGTAAAGGAGGATTTTAATAATGCGAGCAAGAGCCGAAAGTAGGGCGTTGGAACACTTCTGCATGGTCTGTTCACCAACGATACTAACATGGAACTATGGTTATCATCATACTAATTCACAATGGTGGAGTGGTTCTGGGTCAAGAATAACGCTATGCTACAAAGCATCTTGAAGTTTTTTGAACACGCCAATTTGGAGAAAAATGCTACACAAGATCGAAAAGACTGGTTACATCGAATCAACAGCAACACTGGCGATTTTTACAATCACTCCGCGAAGTTCATAACCAAGAAGTGGCTTCGAGGAGACGAATGGGGTGCTGAAGATGCAACCAATCGACTTCGAACATTGTACCCCAAGGTGAGATCGTGCGATCGTCTTGTATATATTATAGAGGTTGACGAACTCCAGATGATGAAGCTGGACTCTCCGGACGGCCCGGACTCGACTGGAACTATACAAAATCTGGTTGATTGGGCAGGGGCTAAACTCGATGCTTGCTTAAATGATCCTCCTAGTTTTACACGCGTTGCAGAGACAATGTTAGCATACGGTCAATATGGAGGAGATCTGGAATATTGTGCTCAGGCCCTAGAGAAGGATCAAAACTACTGGAAAGCTATATGGTATCCAATCAGGGCATCACGCGAGACGGCCGACCCGACTCACTGCCTAAGATAGCGGGTTCACTGAAGAGCCTGATCATTGACCTTCAGGACAAATCCAGAAACTTTTCTGCAAACGAAGACGCTATCTGGAAGAAAATACTGGTGTACGCGAGAACGTTGATGGAGGATCTGGATGACATGGAACAAGCAGTAGCCTACGCCAAACAGCTCCAGAAAGCAGATCCAAAGGACAATGATGCCACATACGCCGTCATTGAGCTCATACTCAAGACCAAAGACTTCTCAAGTATCGTTGCTTTCCTCTAAGATCTCAATGAATCATCCGGCAGTGATCGGAAGGAACTCAACAGCGGGACTGAGTTATTAGATGGTGAGAACGACTTGACGTCTTTGTTCCAATATTTTGCAGAATCGGACTCCTTTCACCATGAAACCGCTTGTATGGTCCAGATGGGCAAAGCCCAGGATCACGACATAACCCAACTGATTGAACGCGCTTTCGCATCAGCCGTTAGGCTCACCACAGACAATGCTCGGACTCGCATGTATCTCTGCTACTACTATGGACTCTTGTTTTATTATAATAGTTGTAATGCTAATGATATTCTGGAAGCCATTGCTCTGTGGGAGACGAACATACAAGAAGATGATCCCTTAGATGGTACATCCATCGACATGGTACGAAACAAGTCTATCCGTAAGGTTATCACAGCATATCTCGACCTCTGTAAGCTCCAGCCCGAATATGCAGACCCCAAAGATGAACACCTCAAAGCTCTGCTCAAACTGCAGAAGAAGAGACCAGGTGTCTTCGACAGATCAGAGAACTCATGGAGAGCGAGACTCTACCATCGTAGTATCAAGTCGAAGAATGAGGCCAAGAAGCAGATTGAGCCATACGTCATCGAAGCTTTAACGCTTCTTTCGGATGGCATACTCGGGCCCAATGGTTCGTCCCGAAAATTTCAAGAAATTGCCCGCGCGTTGCACGGGCCTCCCACCCCAAGGGAAATACCCACCCCAAGGGCATCACTTAGATACAACATAATACCAACCCCACCACAACATTAGATAATTAGAATCTATTTTAGCAAAAAGTTTCGCAATATGCCAAAGAGTAATTCTTCAGCTTTAAAGTATAGAAAAGAGGTGGCGTTAT